ATGGCCGGATTAAGCTCATCGCGTCATTTTGTATTCAACAGGATGGCATGTAAAGCCATCAAAAGGCTACTTAGAAACAGGTAAACCGTCTTAGGAATTATTTTAAGTTTTTTGGATTTACAATTAAAGTCTTTAAAATTAGTTACAGCACAAGAATCTTACGATGCGTTTTGCTTTTTATTTTAAATATTTTTCCAATTATAAGACAAAAAAAAACAACGGTTTTAAAGCGCAAAAAGTGAAGGGGATAATTATTTAAACAATTTATTGTTATATTTCGATAGAAGCCAAGGTAGATTTTTTTGCCAAATGCGTCCTTTTGACGTGTATTTTTTTGCACCGGTCACCACTTGTTCTCTATAAAATCCAAACTAAAAATCGGTAATATAACATTCAAGGACAGTTCATTGTTATGGCCAGGTGTCCTTGGTGATATGCTCATTTTTTGCACTTATTAACCCACCGCAACGGATGCGGCCAGTAAAAATGCGACCAAGGTTAATTGCCAGGAGGATAAAAAGAGAACTGAGCACTTTGCAGATTTCATATTTCACGGTTATTATGATCAGCTTGGAGATTTGCACTTGGAACGGCAAAGAAAAAAACCAAACAGGTAAGAGCTGCAGCTAGGCAAAAAGGTCCTGGCTCGAAGGTTAAATTCAAATCCTTGAGCCTTGGCTGAGCGTAAAAAATATACAAGACTGTGGGAGTGGAATGTAAAGAGATGCACGAAATTATTCTTGGCATTTCCCACAAGACCAATACAAGAAAATCGAATCCAAGCGAGGAGCAAGGACCAAGTACCTGGCCCGGTTCCACTTGCTTGGTCTTGGACTGCTTTTTGCTGTTTTTTCCGCTTGCCAGCAGCGTTCTTAATCTCGTTTATGGCCTCGTATATCCTTGGCAGGGAGCGCAGCTCCCAAAAAGCCGGATGGGGACGGGTCCTTCGTCCTGCGGCGCCGGTACAACGCCCATTACAATAAACAACGAGGCGCTGGCGTCGCCATGCCGGGAAGATGGGGGCCGAAGGTCCTTCATCCTACATCCCACATCCCAAGTCCCGCCCCCCGAATCGCGTATCGTGCCCGTATCTTCGGATGTCCCTTCGCCGTTTCCGTTCACTAACAGCAGCAGCGAAAAAAAGGAAAAATTGGGGAGGGGGAGGGTGGCGAGCACTTTTTTCGCCGCCTTATCCTTTTGGGATTTTGCGCCATTAACGTGAATTGCTTTCTGGCCAAATTATGTATACCCCGTACACAGCAGCAGGAGCTTTAATGTTTTGTAAATTCACATAAGGAAACCATTATCACCTGAAATATGAAAGCAATTTTCATGCATCCTTTCGACCCAGCACCGTTTCTCCCTTTTTGCCTTGGGTCGCTCCTCTTCGGGTTTCCATGTTCGCTGGTTCAATCGATAGGTGTTAATAAGGTCTTCAGGATCGTGGTCCCCACAGAAGAATCTCTGATCGATAAACGGCGTGCCAATTTTATGGCAAGGCTTTAACGACTTAGACTAAAATATTAAACTGTAAAGATATTTTACTTTTCTGTAGAGGTAAACAAAATATTAAACATTACTTTTGTCAGATCATTTTCCTATTAGAAGCATATTTTAATAAAGCTCTATTTTTATTGAAAATGATCAATTAATATTAATTAGAATATTGATAAAATGTGTTAATTTTTTTGTGTAATGATGATCAATATGAACAATAGACTTTAAAAATTCAAACTAACATATAATTAGCTTTGAGAAAAAGCAAGCCAAAGCTTTGATGTGCAGGAACTAAAAACTTTTACAATATCACCCATTTATTTTATTAGCTTTGCAAAACACTCAATGAGTTTAAAAATGTAATCTTTTCTCTCATTTCATTTAAATTTTTGTGGTTTAACAAGAAATTAGCTATTGCCCGACGGCAACTTGGAGCAAAAGAAATTTCAGTTGCAGTATCGTGCTTGCCACTCTTGCCACGCTGTGCTTTTTGCCACCCCCCTAATCTTGGCCAAGAAGGCAGCCCGACGGCTGTTGTTGTCTAGCTCCTGGTTCAGCTTCTGTGGTGGCCACAAGCCGAAGACGATGACGATGACGATGTCGTCGCAGTCTCGGTCTTGGCAATTGCTGGGAGCATCGTTTGGAGCCATTTCGGTGGCCATAACAATTCTCGTAATACTTCGGGCATTGCCGACTAAACGATAATCGCGCGTAAATGCGCCACTAAAATCAATACGACGACTTGCCTTTGCCTTTGCGGGCGAGTTGAAGCCACGTTCGTGGATTTGGACTCCAGTTTCACCTTCGTTGGCTGTGGACTTTAGCCATCTAGCCATCCTTTTCGCAGGAGCGCAGCCAAGGAAAAGGCCTCGCCCACGCAAATGGGCGGTTATGCACATGCGCTTCCCAGCGGCAGCTTCTTGTTGGCTTCTTTTTTTTTTAGCCCCTTCCAGTTTTTCCACTTGGCCAGCGTCTCAAGGCGAAATGAAGTCGGTCTGGATACAAATTGAGTGTATTTCAGGGTTTATCAGATGCGAATTTATTCATTCGCATATGAGCACTTGGTCCAATGCTGACTTTAAAAGGAAGATAAGTTTAATAATGCTGAACCGCTGTAGATTACGTGGCTTGTTTTCCATATATTACAAGATCGTCATTGATATGCATAAAGAAGATACTCTGTTAATGAAAAATAATTTTAAATAATTTATTCTAATATATTTGTTAAATGTACACATTTTGTTTTTCTAATTATTATATATAAAACAAAACAAAAACACCTCTCAAGAAGGTAAAAAAGTCGTGACGTTCGCACTTTCTACATACAAACTTTCGTGATGAAATCATCAGGCATTCATCAAAATAAATACACATTTTAAGGTTTGAGTCTTTCGACCCGCTTCATTAAAAATTTAAAGCTTTATCTTTACAGGCATTCACTTTTTAAAATTTTATTACTTATTTTCAATGTTATTTCTATTTGTTTTCTAAAAGTTCTTCAAATAAAATTTATCGGCTATGAGTTCTCAAGAACAAATTTTATGCATTTATAATAATAATTTTTCTTGCCAATTCAATATATTTTTCTTAACAATATGGGAAATGTTTCAAGTCTGCATCAAACGTGCTGATAAGAGCTTTAAATGTCATTTCAATTAGCGAATGCAGCTCATTACAATTCAATTCGAAGTGTCTTTGTTCATTCCGTTCGAAGCGCACATTCGAATAATTAATTTTCCATTTCACTTAAAGAAATTAAACATTTAAATTTCCCTCGAGAAGTGCATAATTAACGGCCGAGAAACCCCAGACGGGCCGAGTTGAACATTTTAATCAGTCTGTGGGACCGCGAGCACATGGCGGAGTCCTCCACTAATTTACGATCCAGCGGCATGGCGATCCGAGATCGGAGATCGGAAGATCCCAGCGGGCAGGTAAGCAAAATGAGAAATTTATCAAATTTATTGGGGGGAATGAATTGAGATATAATTCAGGGGAATTACAAAGGCCAGGACCAGAGCCAGCCACCAAAATGGCTTAAAACCCCAATAAATTAGCCAGGAAGAAGTCCGGGAAAGACAAAGGCCCGAAGGCTCAGCCATTACATTTTTTTCCCGGCTCCCGACCGCACGCTGTGTCCGTAATTAAAAGTCGTAAACTATTTTTATGGTGCCTCGTATATATGCCGCAAAATGTCAACCCCGATTTGCATGCGACGCTCGTGGGAAGGTAAATATCTGGCGGACAGGTGAGCGGGGAATTTGGGTTGAATTCAATTAATTGCGTATAGATAAATCGAGATGATCGCAGAGCACCACTGTGAATCGGCACACTTGGCTATGCCAGCCATACAAATGCCCACTGATCGAGGCAAATAAATGGCGACCATCTGAGGTCCCCACTTCGTCCCCGCCTTTGGCCATTTATCTCAATGAGACCCCAGTTGCAGTGGCTCATTAATTGGACTTTATGGCCGTCTAAATCATGTGACAAAATGCAAATTAATATTTATACCCGCACCAGAATACCAGTGGAACTCGATTCCAGTTTGTGTTCGCCTTAGCGCAGCTCTCAGCGCACACAGCGCATAAATTCATAAATGTGCCAGCACCGCCAATGAATTTACAGTGTAAAACATAACTTTTAATTACGCGAGCAAGGAAAAGTGCGCAAAAACAGAAAATGTCGCCACACAAGTTGCATAAATAAATGCTTAATAATGCTGAAGACAATGAAGTTCCAAGTAAGGGCGGAAATACCGAAACAAGACCTCTTTACTTTAGGAACGCCAGATTGTTTTCATGAACTAAGCTTAAAAATAAATAAATATTTTTATTAATCCATTGAATTAAAATTTTTTTTCCGGGTTGCGTTTTTTCTAAAATTCAGTTAATTCAGTTAATTCAGTTAATTCAGTTAATATTGACTTTTACATTTTTTTTTATTCATCTTAATTTTATAAAAATGCTAAAGTTTTTTCGTAACGTTTTGTTTAAACTTAAAAATAATTTTAAGTAAATGGCTAAGCTTTATTTATTTTTTGTTTATTTGGAAATGAGATGAATTACTGTATACCGCTGCTTAGATTAATATTATTCTCGTTTCAGTTTAGCTTAAAAATTTAATGCAGTCGAGCAAAATATAATAAAATACACTTAAGGGTGGTATCTTTCGCATATTTAAATAGATACCTAAGTCTGATTGACTAGAAATCTGTTAAACCACAAATGTTATCGGCGCTTTTGATAAGAATAAACATTTTCAAACGCGTTTTTCTCAAAAGTACGTTTTTTGAGTTTGATGAAGTCCTACAGGGTCAAAAAAATATTTGAATTTCAATCACTGTGCGAAATTTTCATCCTGTTACCAATTATACATTCCAGCAACATGGTAGAATCCTCCTTAAATATTTAAAAAGTCACTTAACCTGGCCGATTCTGATTTCACTTATTCAAATTTCACCCAGTGAGTTAATATTATTAAAGTCATATCGTGTTTTCCATAAAATATCACTTGAATTTATTTGAGAATACAATGACTAAGCATTGGACGAGTCGCTGCTAGACGTGATAATGATGGACGCTGGTCGGTTCATGATCCCGCCCATCCGCTGCTGGATCTTGGCCGAGGTCATTCTCTTGGTTTCTGGGATGTAGACCAGGGTGTAGAGCATGATAATGATCGCGATGATGGCGAACAGCAGGAAGAGGTACGGCTGGCACTTGATGTCATGGAAGGTGAACCAGAAGACGACGAAGAAGGCTGTCAGCCAGTTGCAGGCGCAGATTATCGAGCAGGCCACGGGTCGCATGAGCCGCACGATCAGCTCCGCGTTGAGCAGCCAGGTGAGCGATCCCACTCCGGCGGTGTAGGAGCCCACGAACAGGCCGATAAAGAAGAAGGCGATCCAGGGCAGGATGGTGTAGTTTATGGTCACCCATATCTTAAAGTACAGTCCCAGGAAAACGGAGGCGAAGAAGATGAAGGCCGAGGAGATGATGAGCAGGGGTCGGCGACCCACTCGATCCACAAGGAAAAAACAGATGAGAAAGCCCGTGATCACCGCCAAGGCCAGAAAGGCACCGTGTTCGTGCCGAATCCGGAGGCAGTCCAGCATATTTGGGCCGAAGAAGATGAAGATCAGGGCACCGCACATCTTCTGCAGCACGGCCAGCACCAAGGCCCGCGCCAGGCTCCTTCGTATCTTCTTATACTTGAAGCCCCGCAGCGGTCCTTGGCGCACGTCGTACTCGATCCGTGTGGGTGTCCGCATCAGGTGGTCGATCTCCCTCCGTGGATCGTACTTCGCACCGCGCAGGAAACGCAGTGAGGCCTCCGCCCGCGAAATATTGCCACGTTCCACATAGTACGCCGGCGACTCGGGCATGAGTATCTGCAGCAGGCCAAGTGTGAGCAGGCCCAGATTCATTAAATTAATGATCCACAGCTCCAGCACAATGGACATCATGAAACTGTAGATCACACCGAAAATGCAGGCTCCCTGGAAGAGCACACCCATGGCGCCGCGTTTCCTAATCGGACTGATCTCGGAGTTGTAGATCGGAACCACCACGCAATGGGCACCGCCGCACATTCCCAGGACAAAGCGACCGGCGTACAGCATTGGTATACTCTTGGCGAAGACGGTGAGCAACCATCCCAGCGCATTGGGCACCAGTTGGATGAGGATGGTGCGCCTGCAGCCGCAGCATCGCATCAGCAATCCCATGGGCACACACCACACCGCCGCTCCCAGGGTCAACAGCAAGCACACACCGTTCCATTCGTCCTCCGAGGGCTGAAAATCATAGCTGTGCCTCTGCATCACCGACTTTTCCGCCGCTCCCGACCAACCCACTGCGATCCCAAAGAGGAAGGACCCAATGTTGCTGTAGAAGGTGGCCTTGTAGAGGCCCACATTGCTGTCGGGCGGGTGGAATAAGTTTCCGGGCTGTTCGGAGGGCTTCTTCCTCAGCGAAGTGCGCCTTGTGAACCATTTTGAAGGCTTTGGCTGCACGGGAGCGGGCGGCTCCGGTTCCGGTTCCGGTACTTGTTTCGCCGGTTTTTGCATCTCTCAACGTTTTTCGCTACCGAATGGTCAGCACTTACAACCAAATTTTAAACATAAATTATATATTTTTTGTAGCAAATCATTACGTCTACTTAGTTGTAGAATTGGGCATATAAAATACTAGCTGATGTAATTAAATTCGTAAGAATATGTTTCTTAAATCAAAACAAATGTTTGAACTAAGATGCATGAGAATATGTAAGATGGCGTTTTTATATACATAAAATGTAAATTTTTGTGGCAGCAAATTTCAACAGCAATTTGCCTACTAAGATTCAGAATTGGGCATAGAAGGCAAATCAGCTACAAGATTATTTGTATAATTGAAACCTAAACAAACCGATAGGCTTGCAATTGGTGACCCCTATCATTTACCATTGATATACATGAAATTATGGATAATAAATAGATTGATTTTTTAAGCATGGCCTTAATGGACTTTAAAAATGATAATATATAATATTAACATTTGTTAGTCTCATTTCAAGGATGGTAAATCAACATGTATAGAGTGAAAAAAGAGCTGAGTTATATTACTAACCACGCATTTGTTTGACCAAAATGTACGCCCAGTAATTATACAACACATTATGCTATTCGTAGCAAAAATTGCTTAGGCTCAACGGATGGAGAGGATTGCGGGCGAGCGATTTACAATATTGCATTTCCAAATCCCCCAGAACCGCCCAACTAAATTGCAAAGGGACATCGAGTCGGCAATAAACTGGCATCTGCAAATATTTGTACGCTCCCGGCTCGTATGCACATGCTCTGAGTTTGGGTGGGTATTTATTCCGGACTCGCATCCGGAGCTGTGTTTTGAATTTGTCCGGGTGTCTGTCCGGGAGTACTTCTGGCAAAGTGCAGATATTTATGCGTATTTGATAGCACTAATGGGCCATTAAATGCGTACGCAAATACACACACGTACCCGTTCGCATACGTATCTATGTGGGGAGTGTGTGTGTGGGTGCCAGGATGAAAATGTACCTAAGCGAATCTAAATGGCATCAGGGGCACCGAACATGCAAAATCATGTACTCGTAAATCTCCTTAATGCCAGCGGCCTCCGGACAAACTGAGACACCCGGGAAATGGCAGGAAAAGCGGAGGAGCAGGTGGTGGGGTTGAGACGGGGGTGTTTGGCAGCACAGTTGGACGGTGTGGGGCTAAGCAGTTCCACACATCCCATGTACACGCATGGTGGATGCTTCTTTTACCCCCGAGAAAAAGTCGAAAAAGGTATGGGGATTTTCCGTAATGGAACTCGATATATATATGTGCCTGGGTATTCGCAAGTGCGTGTGTGTGTGTGTGTGTGTGTGGGCGTAAGGTGCTTTCGAATACGTATTACGTAACTAACGAAAATTAACGTTAATAGCCCTAAGTATCAAAATAATGGCACTCGCCTGTTGGTTGCCCTCTCTACAAGGCCGCTTTTCGGGGATTGGATGGGTCGCTCTCCACCCAGAACCCGAAATAAATTTCAAAAACTCATTCCGGACTTGGGAAAAACGTGAAAATATTGTTACGACCTCTTTGGGTTCCAGAGAACTCTCTTGGTGTGAGTGAAAAAATCGGGGGAGCCACCTTCCTTTTCCTCATGGAACATTTCCCATCGAACTAAATTAGATTTTAGTCGCAAAATTACGATGCTCAAGCGGTTAATTGAGAAGAGTGAAGCAGCGATTTTTAATGATGTTGTGATTGCGTTTGCGGGGGGTAATGTCGTTGGAAACGGGGTGCTCATGTGGTTGGCTTTAAGGCGTTTGCGAAAAGAGAGAGGAATAGTAATAGTAATTGCTAAACAAATGGATCTTTAAATTGTATCAAATATAAATTTAATACATTTTAAGTTTACAATTATTTTTGAGATAACAAAACTTTAAAAGGAGCGAATTATAATGCTAATTTAATGGACAATACAATAATACAATACAAGACAAGTATGATAATAGTTCCTAATTTTATCTGACCGAATTTCAACCTTTTTTAGCTTTAAACAATACAACATCAGGAAAGCTCTTTTAAATATTTGTACATATCAGAGAGAACCACTTGGCTGCGCAATTCAGTTTTCAACGAAATTGAAATTTCGAACCACCCACAAAAACGAAAATAAAAAAAAAAAATAAGATACTTTGGCCCGACATTTTGTGAACTGGGTATGCGTGTATCGTTAATTTTTATTGGCGAGCTCTCGAGATCCCCTTTCGCATTGAAATCGAATGAAATTCAGTTGTTGGTCCTTGTTTGCTTGTTGCTGGCACTCATATCCGGGCAAAAATGGCTGGCCATGGCGGGGATTGGATCGCGAGGACGAAAACGCAATAAGCAGTTAAAAAATACTCGTAATTGCAGCGGGAGTCAAAGCCCCAGGAGACTGGCATGCTGCATGCCTCATATGAGATGCCATTGTTGCCTTTTTTTTTTGTGGAACGTGCGCATCTCATTGACTCGATTTCGATCTGCCCCACCCTTTGCCATTTCCCCTTCCGATGGAGGACAACGGCGGGAATGACACTCAGCGGACTCGTTCCGCCGGAAATTCATGAATAAGAAGATGAAATGGCTTGTACCACAGCCTCTCCCTAGCATATTTTATCGACCTCTCGAATCTCCGCTTTTTTTAAAGTTTACCTATCTCTGTGTTAAGCTTATATAAGGTTTGGGTTGATTTTCTTCCAATATTATTTTCTCTGTCAAATATCGCTTGCTTACCGAATTTTAAATTATTTATCAATGAAGCTTATAAAACCTAATATTTATAACGAGATCACTAGCCTATATTAATACGGCAGGAAATATTATATGTACATAACAAAACCTGATCAGGAAAAGGCATTTACAATTAAAAAAATATTTATTTGCGGTAAGAAATTCAATAAAAAACTCGATGAAGTATACAATTTTATTATTATATTAAAACAAAAACAGTTTTGTCGATTGTGGAACGTTTTAAAATTAACGCTTCAAGACTTAACGGTCTGAATATTGTTTTGTTAAAAATCCATGGTATAATTAAGAAAGATTTTCTGAAAGCTAAATCAAAACAAACAGCTAGCCTTTATATTCAAGAAAAAATTAGGGGAAAGAAAAAATGAGATGAAATTTTTGTTAGAGGTAATTTTTCAAAAAATATATGACCTAGGCTTAAATTAAATTCAAGCTTCATACATTTTGGGTAACTTTAATAACTGTTTAGGTAATTTAGTTCTTTGGTGTATACTTTTTTCTCAGTTGAAGCCCACTCCGTGGTCGACCATTTCGGATTGCCTTTTCTTCCGCGGACCTTTCCCGCATTCGGTAGTTTTCCTTTTGTCCGTCTCGTTATTGCAGTAATATTGCTCGGTCCGCGAGGAGGTCGCCTGTTGTTGGTGCTGCCGTCGCCCTTGTTTTTGTAGTTATAATGGGCTAGTGCCATTCTGGACGCTCGGCAGCGGCAAAAATGTTTCACAAATGGGTTCATATTTTGACGTTTAATGTAGCGAAAATGAAGCGGGGATTTATGGAATGCGCACGTTGCCCTCGCGGCTGCCCTTCGTCTGCCTTTTTTCGCCATTCCCCTTTGTTCCGGCGGCCAATTTCGAAATGGAGAGTGCAAATCAAGAATCAATTGCATTATTAGAAGTGATTCGGAATCAACGGGGCGTATGGGGGTGAGTATGTCTGGACATCTTTGTCTGCCAGACAAGGATTTTCCACGGTGCTTCTTTAAGATTAAAACTTTGGCATATTTTGTACTAAGCTTGTAACCTGCCACCGGTGTCCTTAATGGCCAATAGCGAATGATGAAAAGATGAAAACACCATCGGCTGCGGGCCGAAGTTTGCCTAAAAATGGCTAATCGACTGCCTCGGGCACTTGAGGCCAGCAGTTACCAGGAGCAGAGGGCCAACCCTCCGTGGATGCCAGCCGCACGCCAGGGATCAAGTAAATTGCGAAAACTATGTGCAAGATGGCCTGTTATTGCAGCCGAAGCGCTTGTAATGATGACTCTAAGTGTCGTTTCCTTAAGTGTATTACCTATAAAAAATTTATACAAACATGCTGCCGAATTCGTTCCCATTTTCCCGCCACCAAGCGTTGAGGGTAGAAGCCCGGCCTCATCTGCCTTTGTGGTGCCTGAGATAAGGTGAAGCAACCGGAGCGTCTTGGCGATAAAATGCAACATTAAGTTGCTGATTTCAGCTACCCGCCCCTTTTGGCCATGGGACCCATCTCTTTGGCCTCGAGTGGCGGCAGTTCATTAGGGTAACATTGCAATTGGGTACGAAAAGGTTATCGAACGTGCTCGCCTGTGTTGGTAAATATTAATTGGTCATTATGCATGCAAATGCCCCGAACCGATTCCTGTGGGGCAACATGAAAATAAAATAAATAAAATATGTAATGAAAGTCGATTCGGGGATAGCATCTAATTTATTTTATTGAAAAATCATCTTTATGAATTTACATATTTTTGGAGAGCATACACGCATTCACTTTACATTGTACTTGGGTGAGCACAAACCTAATTTAAAAGTCCCCCTTAAAATACAAAAAAAAATTATTTAGGAGATATGTAAATAAATAATTTATAAAAGCGTATTTTTTAAATATAATACATAAGTTTTTTAACAAATATGTACTAATAAACTTTAAAACAAAATACTTAAATTTAACAAAGTTCAATTTGTTAAATATATAGATACAAATATTAATTTTAAAATAAAGATACAAATGCATCTAATAGATCCTTAATTAAAAGCTGAACTCTTATACAAATGATAAATTAAAAATGCCTTGTAAATAAGAACATATTATGGCATAAATTCCACTAGCCAAACTGGTTTCCCAGTGTCCTGTCTTTGTATCCTGCTGCGTGGAATCACCATCCCGCGAAAAGGGCGGCCACTCCCTTGGCGCTCGTAGTTTATGTTTACGTAGAAATTAAAATAAACGCCGCAATGAGATTTATTCAATGTTTGTATTAAGCTGCGCTGTCCAGGAAACGGGGA